TCATATTTAGGGAAATACAATATAATCTGGATTATGTGCCAGCAACGGTTAATTATCAAGATCTTCCTCGAATCTTGGTGACTAATCGCCAACATTCAACCTTTCATTGTCTATCACAAGTGAACTTCTCAGAAGTAAAAAAGATGACTCATTGTCGCCTTTAACAAACCAATATACCTCTTAACACAAATCACACAAATGTCTTGGAGGATCTGTTTCTGATGTAAAGATTTTCAAATCACCAAAACAAGTTACGCGATTCAAAAACTAGAAGTTTTCATCTCACTCCACTTCTACTTAGCTATACTGATGTATTCTTCATTATTGATAATGAAGATGATATTGATACAATTATAAGCAGTAAATTGTGCTCGAAACGTCTCTCACTTATTAGTGCTGTATCACTGTGTGTTATATCAAATAAAGTTATCTAATATAGAAAACTGGTTTTCACTTCACGAGTGTGAATCGTTACTTTAAGGCAGGCTTACTTTAACAGTTCGTCTGATAATATGGAATGAAATAATTGCGGGCGCTAACTATTTCATTCACCTGAACAGTCACAGCCTCGATGAGTTGGTGACCAACTAAACTGATGCCCAGAAAAGAAACAGATGTTTGGCTTTTGTCAAAATGCACCAATTACTACGCAAAAGAGGTTTCTGATTGCTTACTAAGGGTAGAATGTATTGCAAAACACTGAACTTGTCAACCTCTGTAGTTGTGAAACAGAGCCATTGAATTAAAATTTTCATGGGCCTCAGTACTGTGCTAGTTCATCTAAATATTCTATACTAAGACTGATCACAAAGTCGGTGGCACAACGATTAGAACTCTCGCTGACTATGCACATGGTCCGGGGTACGATCCCCGGCCAACGCACTCCTTTATCTCACTAAGCTAGAAATAAAGCTGCTGAAGAGGAAAGGTTGGGCATGGGGCTTGCAACCCCATCCTGTAAAAATAAACACTGCTACAGAAACTTAAAGCCTCTAGCTTGAAGCATTATGTTCCATTGGGAACGTGAAGGAATAAAAAACGACTGATCACAGTGGTACGAATATATTAATATATTCTCTTCAATTTAGTGGTGTTACCACGTTTCTCTAGTCCATTCACTGTTTCTTCAGTCTTAAGGTTTTCTACCGCATCTGGTCAAATAATTTCCACGTGTTTATCCTACTCCTTCTGCCTTCTTCTCGGTATGCAGGTGTTATGTGACAATCTGAGCCATCATACAGTAAAACTAGGTCCTTTGTTTGGCTTTCTATCTATTACTTAATTCAGGTTGAGCAAAATGAATATCATGCAACTGTTTTAAATACAATTTTAAGAAAAAATAAATAGTAGATAAGTGCACATCACGACAAAATACGTTAGAATGTAGAGGGATATTCCATAACTTTTGTTACTGAAAGATTGAAAAAAGACAGTGTCTGAAACCTATCCTATAAGAACAAAAGGAAAGTAATAGAAACTTACTTTGATTCAACAGACAAAACTATTCACAAACAAGCAGTAGATGCCTACGTTTGTCAGATTCGAGCTGAGGAGAATCGGTAGTACTAAACTCATCTAAGCTTTTCATTTATTTTATTTAAAACATGCTCGAAATCAGATTAGAATTAGCAAATTTAATAAACAAAAAAGTATAACAAGAAGACAGAAAATGCAAAAAATACTCAGATGGATGATATCACAAGATGTCTTCGGAAAGTTTTCACCACCTCAATATTATCGCTTAGAAACAACAGACGAAAGAGAGCTACAACATAGTTGCTGTTGGCCTAAACTTTAAGTTCTATAAGTCATGACGCGTCGAACCATTCATTCAATCATACATTCCCTATGGTCGACGTCATCGCTAGCAAATAATGCCGACACCGATTGAAGTATTGCATAATCGTATTAGTCGAATCCCACACAGACGTATTTATTTACCGTAAATTTGAACAACTAGTGCAAAGAAAATTCCTGTAAATTCCATGTACTTCATTCTATAAAAGTCAGACTCATTAAACGATCGTCTACGACAAGTAGGACTGGTCTGACAAACGAGACAGAAGTTCAGAGTCTAGATTCGAAAGATCGGTCCAGAAAGACAATGACTATCCAGAAATGACAAGCAAGGCTACATCTCAGATGATCTACAAGATTTTCACCTTTGAATGCAAACAGTTGTATATTTGTCATAAATAACTTATAATCTAACAATCAGAAAAGATACGTCATACGTATATTAATCCAGATTTATTGTCACTTTAGATTAAGTTATCATTCAGATATACTTTTTAACTCTCGTACGTGGATAATGCTATTCAAATCACTGAACAACATTGGCAACCTAACCAGCTGTTTCAGAAACAAATCCACAAAAATAGAATCTGAGACATAAATTCAAGTTTCAACTTTATGGATTTCAAAACACACAGGCAACTTCGAGCATACATAGAGTAAGTAAGTACGAAAGACTGAAGCCTCGAAGAAAGTTTATTCCTGTATGATAATACAGAAAGAGAAACCTGATCATGCAGATAAATTTGTGAGCTAGCAGTAGCTCCCAATTAACTGAGTAAATATCTATGTAGCCTTGTCACCGTTAATTAGACTTATCACCTACTGTACCAAATGCCGTAGTGCAGTGCTGCCTTAAAAGAAAGAGCTTCATCCTACTTAGTTTACACCGGACAAACCACACGAAAGTGCAGTGGTTCAAGTTGCCACACTTTATAAAGCATACAAAGGTAAAAAAAAAAGAATGTGGGGAAACTACAATAAACAGAAATGTATGGCAAAAAGAACAACTACATGGAAAATAATGATAATTCAATGGATCTGAAAGATTAACGAAACTGGATAAATCTGTGCCATAGAGAACGACTTTGAGCCAGGTCACTGACAGTCTCCAGTCATTGCTTCTTAGAGTCCCAAGGACCACAATTAAGCAGCTTACATCCCTCTACGTGCCTCAAAAGAACAGCCAAAGACTTCATGGATCGATACCAGACTTTGATTTGATCAACCCTAACCTATGTCGGCTAACACTGCTCAACGAAGAAGACGACGGAATGGCGTGAGTAACGCATGTACTAGTCATTTCAATGGATGCAGCTTCACAACCACATCGATTGGTTTCCCCTCCTTACCTAACAATACTCTTAACCTTAATATCACTCACCATACTATACTCGCTTACACGCGAAACAAAACACAGGGACTCGTTGACAATAACTAGTCTCTTCATGTCACCTACTTCCAAAGACTGTTTCACAGTCATAAAGGAAGATGAAGAGAATTTTTGGCGTAGTATATATATCCTTGGATCCATTGCCAGATATCGCGTTTACGCCAGACATGACGTGAGTTGGCAAATATCACACAAGCTTTTTGTAGCCCAGCTGAGATTTGATCAGCAGTCAGATTATCAGTGCTCAGCCAAATAAGTGAACTGGTCAACATGCTCAACCTTTTCACTTCGTATTCTTATACTAGCATTCAATGCAGCTCAGTCCGTCAGCATCGTCCAACATTTATCAGGGGCGAATCGCATTCTAAATACTCCATTAAATGTGTTCGACGTGTTCAGAAAACCTTACATTTTATCAGCGCCTTCACTTAGAATGAGGACATCATCTGAATACTTTAAATCGACGAGACTGTTCCGTAGTGACACTTATGGATAAACCGAAGATTTCATTCACTCAATTTGATCATAAACTGGCAAAATGAATATGAAGTAAAACTATCGAATGGAAATAATGAACCTGTAATAAATATTTAATGAATACAGATATAAGATTCTTGACAAGATGAGAAGCTATTTAAACATGTGATTTAAGCTAACCACTAGTTGGAATGCAAAATTCATTGTTAGTTATTTATTATCATCTCTAGCAAATTTATAACCACCGTCGTAGCTGACGGATGGTTCGGAGTGCATTCCGAATACTATTTTAAAAAAATATAACCTTGATACTTTAAATTGATAGTCGTATCCACTCTGTTTCAGTTTCATATGAAGGTATGTAAAAAGCCAAATTTTCGTCGTTATCGATAACTTGGAACTAAAATTCACACAAAAGTTTCTTTTAACGCTAAGTCTTTTTCAGCCAAAACTACACATGTTAGAAGCTTAAAAAGTCTTTTAAACTTATTATGTTAGTAAATTTACAATGTAAATTTCAGAACTGTGAAGTCAATAATATGCAGACTAATTTTGTGCTCCAAGCTACACACTGCAGCTTTCAAAACAATCAGTGATAGCCATAAATATGATATCATCAGTCATTTACGGATGCTGCCTCTGAAACTGATCAATTACTAATCTTCGTAGAATGACAGACAAACAATTAATTTTAAAGCAGCCTTTCATATTTCAAGTTTCACAATCATTCAAGCTTTAGATGAAGCTTGAAAACAGCAGATCTGAGAAAGTCGAGTAAGTTCTAATTGTTTACTAGATGTACCTTCATAATATTTATCCTATGTCTTGCCCTGTAACACAGGTCAATTCGCCACAGCCAACAATAACACAAAAACAGGGGGAGTTTCTCATCTCCTCGTTTCATGAAGATACCTTGGTGGAGTACAAGACATTAATTGAAGCTAATGGAACAGATACGATAAGACGTAGACAATATTAATGGAATGTAAAATACACAAGAATAATGCGGATTAACAAGATGAAAATATATTGACTGAACTGTGCCACATATTTGTTATACAAGGGCTAGACGCTCCTTAAACACTGATATAGAAATCAGGCTTTGATTTGAAGATTCACTGTGTGATTATCAAACAAATCAAAAGTATTTGAACCAAATGAAGCACATGCGTTGATTTCCAGTCGTTTGTAATGTCCAACTAATTTAATACTACTATTCAGTCACAATCACAGCATACTTGGCGAAAATTTATCTTTTTTAATAGTACTGAAATCTCCATTAGCAAATATTATACTAATATCAAAATTAGTATCAAAATACGTTGAATAAACAAACCGTTGTAGACCAATTTTGGACAGCTATTTTCGAAATCCACTTCTGAGGAACCATGAACTGTATAAGGAAAGAAAAGTAAAGTCTGTCTGACCAGCATAATCTATTTAAAAAAAGATGAAATCACTTAAAGAATTAGTGGATAAGCTATAACTGTTACTTGTGAAACTATGGGGACATCAGCGAAAATGACCTTCATGCAAAGTACCTTTCCACGGGTGCCAAAGTAAACAATACATTCCTAATAATAGTAGGATATGATACTAGTTTGCCAGTACTATTGTTGGTTGTGCCATTTAACTTGGTATATACGGTGGGAGAGAGTGTGGTGATTCCAATAACAGCAATAATCATATTAGCATTATTGACGTAGATTGATGAGATATACTACGTGAGACACTTCCTGATGCTACTGAGTTTGGTCCCTTTATCCATCTATTGTATACAAAATGAAGATTACGACTTTAAAACTGTTTGTTTATTCTGTAAACATATGAAATCAACCTTCTAGCTAAGATATAGTTAGCTATTTAACACATAGGAATGATAACATAAATTTCATATGGTTATTTGTCTACTTAGTAAGGAGTCACATCTACTTATAAACTGATATTACTCACAAACCTTGAAAGGTAGAGTACAGTCTCGAAATCTGACTACCTACATTGATGAGTCATAAGTTACGAAATCGTGCCAGTTCATTTATATTCCCATCTAAGTGAGATAAAGGCAACCAAAACCGATGATTAATGTGCAAAGTACGATTTAATGAGCAACAGTGACGACGCACTTTATTATTAGTGCAATATAGACGCATATAGTCGGACGAGTTTGTTAGAGAATGCCAACAACCAATTCCAGCGAACAATTTCACATAGCATTGCTAGTTTACTAGAATTTGAAAATAGTGGGAACACAATTTTCGAATGTTCTGGACTGACAGCTTTATTTAGGTCCAACGACTGCAGTAATGCCATACGACTGAATTTTAACACCTATAATTTCACAAAACATTCTGTTTTATTAGGGGATAGAGGCAACTATAGCTAGTGTCTAGTGGTATGAAATCACGTTCAACTCTATTTTCCAAGCTATCCCTGAGACATATTATGTCCAATCTCTGGCTTATCATGTATACTGTTTAGATGAAGGTTGCGATTGATCTGGCAAAGGAAGTCACGAGTAGAAGTGATGAATAGTACTTTAAACATTATTGCGAAAATCAACGAATGTATGCTGTTTTTATTCAATATAAAATCAAAGTCAAACCATGATCAATGCTTTGAAGTGAATAACTGATTTTAGTGACTATATGTAGTCGATTTTAAATATACACTGTAGAAACTTGAAATAATAATCGTCTATGCAGTCTGCCATATTTCGATCACACATATGAAAGAGGAGTCAGTTGTTAAAACTTAGTGAAAACCTACAACGACATAAAATAAATAATGTTCCAGTTATCACTGTATCAGACAGCTAACGTAGTTATTAAATATGCTAATACAATTTTAATGAATTCATTATTGTGTCAGCCATATGAAAAACTTACAGTTTTCTGAGCCACCAAGAGAGAGTTGACTTAATCCAGATTCTAACTCTAAAGCCATCAGATATTCGCCAATGTTTTCATCTGTGATTAGTGGTAGTACATTGGAATGAAGTGGCGGATTATCTCCTCCAGGTTCTGTGAATAAGTAACCCAAAGCAGCACCCATACATATATTTATCTAAATACGTAAAATCAATTGTTCCAGCCTGTTTGAAATATTCTCGAAATGTAAGAGCGATAAAAAGTCTTATATTAATCCAAACGTGGAAACGTATAACAAAAAGTCCGAAGCGTTTGAATCCTTCTCGTGAACTTACTAAAGGACATGTTTTGCAATATTCAATGTATAGGGGGTACTTAAAAATAACTTTTGGGTTTTGTAGATCTAATTAATTCATGAAGTTAATTGAAATACTTGTGCCAAAAATTATTAGGCCAAACGATATTCAAAATGAGGATTGAATTTTCCCATAAGTACAATTGGTGAAAGGATCAACTCCATTCACACTAGTAACAGTCTTAACACACCTCATACTACAAACCGCATATAATTAATCCCTGCACTACTCCTTTTGGAGTCAACCAAAGCTACGGCAGTCGAGTGGCGGGACGGGCTACGCAGACGTTTACCGAAGATCAGGAACCTCTACCTCACAATCAAGAGGCGAGCACAAAGAAATCAATTTGGTTTATACTAGCTCGTAAAAACGATATTGGATATTGGATATGATAAATATTGTCTCAATGATTATTATGGCAGTATGGTTCAAATACTGTGGTCCAGATGTCTTACCTCTGCTAACACAGTAGGAAGCATCATACTACGCAAGACTTTCGGTAATTTCCACTTTTAATAATGGCTATAAACTATTTGTACACTGCTACAAAGGATTCTAAACACACAAAATTTGGTAGGCCGAATATTTCCAAAGAAGTATTTGACTGGGAATTTGAGCTGCTGTCTGGAGCAGCCTTAGGACCACAAGTTCATTTATGAATACAAATAGCCAGCAAATATTTGTCGACACGAAAGAAAAGCATCTGGGTTCTCAATATTCGGTGATGAAAATCTGTGCAACAAGAACAGCAGATATGTCTACAATAGGTTCCATTCAGGGCCATTGGTTAAGGCAGCCGATGCAAATTAACCTGTGAACAAATCTGCGGATTCCATTACGTACTCGTCCAGAGATGTTTAGACTCTGTTAACTGGCAAAACAATCCACTAATCAAATTTTTTTCCTATTTTGCTAATCGTAAATTTCATGTGACCATCAGTCATCCGTGCGCATAAAAGCGATAACTCGGGTTTACGCGTAGCTTTGGTTTATGGTCACTCCACATGTGTGAATATGACCCATTAACGATTTTATTTGATACAATATTACTGTTCCCCTGTTCGAAGCGACTCTTTATTCCCTCGTTGAGGACCACAATGGTAATCATTCTACGTCCGAGGAGAATGAGCAGTTTTTAATACCAGTGGTTACGACGTATCACAAACCACAGCATCGAAATCTAGATACGGAGATACAACTTCATCAAATGTAAGCAGGGGCACAGTCTAAAGAGGGAAAAACAAGCTTCAAGAGCTGCGGATCTTTTCCTTTTCGATTATTCTGGGACCCGTGGGACTGTAAGTCATGCAGGCCATCAACGAAAGGATAAGGACGACAGAAGAAATTTCACTAATGGGTCCAAAACCATGCGCTAAAGAATTTATGCACTTCGCGACGTCTCAGGAATGGCATTTAAAAATACACTGCCAGTTTGTTCTAATGCCATTTGTGACAGAAAGCACTGCAAATAAACCACCTTGGAGACGTAAGCATAGGAATTTATCTCGAAGACCCAAAGCATATTCCGCTAGTGTTACATCTGAACAAATATAGCAGAAGTGCAAGTAACAACAACAACAACAGTCATCCAGGATGGAGTGACAAATTTGAGAAAGTTGATGACTGTGCTTAATCCCAGCTTATAAAGACCGCTGCATCCCGGAGGGGCTTTCTGCGAGCTAGCTGGGTGCGAACACAATAAATTCTTAAGAAGTTTGCATGTGCCCTTAGATAAAAACACATGAGATCCTCTCGAGGTGTGATGAAGACCTTGGACTATGCACCACTATGAGTGAGTCGTGGAAAACAGAAAGCATTCCCCCTCTCGTAGGTTTTGAATGTAGAGTCGAAGAAATAACGCCTATATCTGAAGAAAGTCTTTCTCCAAATACTATTGCAGAACTGAATTCGCAGTAAGTATTTAGCTGTTAAGTACTAAGGCGTAGGTCAGTTAGAATCTGATACAACTTAGTAACTTGTTGACGGCTGACAAGTTATGATTGCTACGCTTATAACAGCTGATGTCATTTTTAGGCTGTTAACGACTGTAGGAAAACGGTAAATTGAAAACCCGCCCCTTTTATCCTTCATATACCCCAATCATTCTTCGCTCAAATCACTGTGGGGGACGAGGTGCATGAAAATCATAGCAATATATTTGTATCTAGAAATTGAACTTTGCTGTCACAGAAACTACCCGGGCAACAGCTGTGCGAAAAGGAATCGTGAACAAACAGGCGAATAAGCAGTTAACATATGTTACCACTATGTTTACATTGAGGAAAACTTTTGAGAGCCAGGTAACACATTCTAAATAAGCTGCAACACTACGCAGTGCTAGTACAAGAATAGCTGACCCGTGAGGGCACTCCGGGAGCATGTAGTTTCGTAGGCAAACCGGTGTGCCATCCTTTTCTGACCAGTTTGATTTAGTTGGGTTGGTTGATACATTTGGCCGCAACCGCAATAGACTGCAGTAACACTTATTTGCAGCTAGGGCCTAAAAGAAATGCTGATACCCCCACACAAAATGTGAGTAATAATAAACACTTGCTAGTACTGGCGAAGAACGTTAGGCGACTGCTGTTGAGATTCCATAATAACGTGCCAAGATTGTAAGGTGGTGGCATAATGCTGTAGAGAAATATGGATTGCAGAAGGCAGTGTCCACAGATTCGTTGAGAGTGAACGGTTTAACTTTTGGTTTGAGCTGCCTAGTATTAAGCTGATAAGAACATTTCCGCCGTATCCTCATAAAGAATTTATGATGCAGTGAGGGAGTGACTGACAACAAAGGCAAGTAGTTGCAAGACAGATCTGTCACTGATGTCAGTAGGGTGTAAAAATGGATGACACAGCTAATAAAAAGCTGTTTTTGGTTGATGAATTCAAGAGAACCACTCCTATGGTGCATGATGAAATCTGGTTACAGGAACAACTGTGGAATATAACGCGAAGATATAGTGGGTGAAAGCCCTCTATGCTGAAGTCAAAAGGGCTACTTCATGTGACGTGACTGACTGAAGTGTACGCCTTAAAAAGAGGGAAAGGAAATGCATAGGCATGAGATGACTGAACAGATAGGTTCGAGTTTAGCGGTAATGAGCTATGTATAAAGAGTGTGTGGAAATTGATGTGGCTGTAGGAACTGTTTAATGAAGGCGTCGGAAACTACTGCTAAAGATAGATACAGGCGTAATAATAATAAATTTTACAGGCATGAACATATGTACACTAATTAGAACTTATAGAATATATAATATGATTTGTTAATCTAGAAATAGATTGAATACTGGTTAATGTGAGAGAAACATTTTAAAAGAAATTTACATATAAGGAAAAAGATAATTTTTCAGATCTGCTTTTGACCGAATAAGTCATAAGATATAGCGTCAAATCTAAACTGTAATTGAAAAAAATACGGTATGTCAATTTCACGCGGTAACTATAAATAAATAAATTTATTCTCATAGTACAGTACATGAGGGACGCTAGTTTACAGGCATCATCAAATTGTTACAGAAATAGAACCATATAATTCAATCACACTTTACAGGCGGTAGCAAGATATTCCTTACATGTTCGTTGGAGACTATATATACACTTGATAAATGTTAATCCTAGTAGTGTAAAACAACCTTTTCACTTATATACAATCATTTCTGTGCACAGTTTTAAAAATCTACTAGATTGTCAGTGAGTGCAACACATCAGGAAACACAGAAGTATTGTCTTCGCATTTACAAAAACCAGGTCTTTGGTGGATGGATTATAAGTGCCTTTGAAAAAAATAAAGCTTGAAGTCAATTTTCATACATAACATTGTTGTGTACAGAATCCTTGAATTACAGTTCATTGATGATTGCGTTAATTGTGGAAGGTAAGTGGCACTTTTGTACAGGTGCTGACGTGAAACATAAGACATGTAGAATAAACAATAATTATGAGTGAATGATTCATAAAGTGTTTGAAAGTTTATAAAACTTCAAAGTCACCGGTAAGTACACCATAATTGCGACATTTCCAGTTGTATGAGACCAACTTTGCACTTGTCAGTAGATTTCATGATAGAGGTGGTTCCGTTATTCACCAGGTGAGCTAGCAATATTCCGAATAAGTAGAGGATAGCAGCACTGCATCAGTGCCTTCGTTTAGGGCGGTACCTTCGAAAAGAGAAGAAGACACAAGAGAACCGCAAGAGAGGTTCAGAAGTACATAATAAGTGTTAATTATTCAAAATATATAACAATTATAGGGCTCATCATTTTTTTGTTTTTTTAAATTATTTTTTCTCGATAGGTTATAGTAATGGAATTTTACAGTCTTTCTTGCGAACAATTAGTTTAAGTGAAAAAGGTGATAATTTTACCTCCTTATATAGGTCGAAAAGGAGTTAAATACAAAAGTCAAAGTGCATGAACTGTGTAGAAGAAAAGAGAGGGCTTCATAATATCTGCTATTTTCTTGAAATATACAGTAAGGTGTCCTTCTGAAATAGCGGACTCATACCATGTACTTGCATACGGGTAGTTTGTATTTAAACTTCGACTTTAGGCAATTTTCATGTGTAACTGGAAAATCTTGTTGTAAAACTACAGAAATTGAGTACATATCTAAGGAGTAGCGAATAAGTGGCAGAGAAAGAGGAACAGACACACATAGTACACCCTCGTATTTATATACATAAAATTCTCTTGAGTTCCGAGTGAAGCAAATAACCTCAGCAGCAGATTTTTGTCTTACTCTGTTCACTGTAATCATTTTCCCACCCTAATGGTAGCCTATACACTCATTTCCTGCTCACAAGATCTCCTACTTCCCTACTACC